TTGACGAATATTATTAAGCTGATTGACGAATATTATTAATTAGCTGATTGACGAATATTATTATCATTTCGTAAAATGTACTTAGTTTTTCTTTTTTGTTATACAAATTATGAAAAGGTACAGGAGAAATATTGTTTTTACATTTAAACATAAAACATATAACGTTAAAAATATTAAGCTCATATATATTTAAGACTTTCATTTCAATTAATAGAGGCTTGGCATGAGTAAATCGGAGTATCTCTTTTTATTTTTTTCTTAATGATAATTTCCATAATACTACATTTTATTAAATTATATTAATTTTTAAACTATAAATCTTTATTTCTATGCTACAATGAAAAATACTTTAAGTTAAAGAATTTTCCAAAGGATCTTTCCTTTGAAAGAAAGAAGTTTAAAGATGTTGAAATTCAATTTAATAAATTTAATTAAATTTAATTTCATTGTGTTTTTAAATTTTTTCTTAAAATATTTTAAGTACGTCTTAATTTATTTAAATGCTTTCAATATTAGAATCCGTGTGGCCTCTATATGGCAACTAGAGAGTTGCCATATAGAGGCCACACGGACCAAGGGTAAAGTGATTTTGGGGAGAACGAAGATATGTTAGAGTAAAAGATAGAAGTAGTCGAGTTAAAGAAATAGCATAGAGAAAGCGGACAGGATTACATACGATGTTAGAAGGTGCAATACTTTGATATAAACATAATTGACTTAAGTCATTTATTGTAGAGGTGTACCGGATATTTTTGCCGAATATGCCGGATAGTGAACTTTTCTAAGGTTCTCTATGTGTTTATTTTCTAAACTTTGTTAGCACATATACCATGAAATGGTATATGTGCTAACAAGTGGTGTGTTATCAGTGATGTGTTATTAGTGTTATAATGCTTCATAATTTCTCCGAATAAAAGCTCTGCGTTGAGATTAGAGTGTTTTATTTAAATAAAAAGAAATAGGAATGGCTATCTGTTTAATAGAGAATGACTGTCTTTTTTGAGGGCATACACGATTAAATAGAAATATATATAAGTAGGTAAGACTATGTTTATCTGGATTATCAAGAAGAATTAACAAGCTGGATAGTTATATACCATAATGTTTATCTGGATTATCAAGAAGACTTAACAAGCTGGATAGTTATTGAAATTGGTATATCTGTTGGTACATTAATTTTTAAAAGTATTGTTAAAAAATTTCGAAAAAAACATACGAAAGTTGTTGCTTAAAGTAATAAGGTGATTTTTTTTAATATCAATTTATGAAATAAATAATGAATTTATTAATGTTATTATTTGTAATAAGCGGTGTATTGAGGTTTAAAAATGTTGTCGGAATGTTTGTACAGTTCCTTGATGATGCTGTTTATATTTTATGGTTTATTAATTATAAATAACCGTACATGGTCAAGGTTGTTTAATTGCTTTTTGGAGGATTTTTTTTTTAAAGGCTGTTTTTACGGCTTTACAAAAGTATTTACTATATAAGATGTACCTTTTTTGATCCATGAAATCTTTTTTCCTATTAAAGTTAGATTTTGTTTTTTTTTGAAGAAGAATAAAAAATTGTTCTAGAGTTTTTTAAGTTCCGTTGTCTACCTCATTTTATAACAATTACAGTTTTCTACCAAAATCTCTTATCTAGCCAGAGTCTGCATAGAGCCACTCATTAAAATTTTCTCCTAAATAAATGCATTTATTGCCCACCTACCAACAACACTTAGGTCTTCGATGAGATAGTGAAAACTATTTCATTGAAGATCTCCAATGCAAAAACGGTCGGGGTCAACAAAAACTTTAACGGTTTAACATTCATCGATGATTTCTACTTCCAAGATGGAATAAATACTGGGTTAACACTGGTGCCGAAACTAGTTTAGGCACAACTTTTGTTGAAACTCTATTCGACATCCATTTACATCAGTAAGTTATTGATCCCATCTTCATCCAAGCCAACGCACAGTGACCCAGATTAACCTAAAAATGGCAAAAAGTCCGAAAAAAAAAGTGAAAGTTTTATCGTATTTTTGGTCTATAATCAACTTTAAATAATTTCACAGATATTATTATTGTGTAATTTTAAATGGATATATGTGTAAAAAGTTAAATTTATCACCATAAAATTATGAAAATTTAAGGTATGATTATTTTATAAGCAACCTTGTTTTCCATCTCCATACAAAACCTTATTATTTTTGTTAAAGTAATGAGTACTTAGATATTTAAAATTTATTTACTTTTTTTTTTCAGATTAAAAAAACAAGTTTTTTTTAATTTTTCTGTTAAAAATTAAAGTTTTAGTAAACAAGCCAAAAAAAAGTTCCACGTTGTTCCACGTTCACTTTTAGTGAAACAAAACCGCTAAACTATAGACAAGTGAACCCTGCAGTTTTTGCTGCAACCTCCTGCTCTTTAAGGAGAAATTTTAAATTGATTCATGCATTGTTTTGTCAAATGCAACACCCGCCTCTTCCTTTTCGATTTAAAAACAGTTTTCGGAGGTTTGTATAATAATATACAATCTAGTATTTACCTTTAATTTTGAAAATTAAAGAAATCTAATCATAATACAATTTAGTAAAAAAGAAATTAAGCTTTAAAAGTGAAATGAAAAGGTTAAATCTATTTTTAAAAGCTCGCAAATCTGAAGCAAATAACAAAGCACTTCCTGAAATATTTATCGAATTTATCAAAAAATCCAAAATAAAAAATTCGAAAAATTCGAAATAAAATCCTAAAGATGGTGAACTAAATAGAATTGTACAGATTTTTATTTCGAAAGTGAAAAATAAGCTTTAAAAATATTTTAGAAACTATGAAAAGTTTTTTAAGTACGAAAATAATTGGCTAGAAAGAAATCTCATTAATTATAGTGTGTCTTTTCATCCTAGACCAGGAAGACCAGTTAAGTAATGGGGGAGATCTTTATGACAGTGCCGGATCAAGGGGGGCTATGGGGCTATAGCTCCTGGCCCCGCAAATTTAGGGGCCCCGAAAAAATTTAGAGGCTCTTTTTTTTTTTAATTTTTTTTAGTCATTTTTAGGCTCTGGCCTATAAAAAAGCCTCCAAAAACAAAAATAGCCCCGGTCCCCAAAAAGTCTTAATCCGCCACTGTTTTGTGAAAGAAGTGAAAGAGCAAAGATGGCAGATTTAGCTAATGAACACCATGATGCATCTTGCTGCATCAAAGAGTGCTAAAGTAGCAGAAGAAAATGACTCAGCCTATATTTTGAAAAGAATTTCTAAATGTGTTAATGTAGCACAGATAAGAAGAAATATTGATTCCTTGACTCAAACAACTATGAAACTAGATGAGGCAAAGTTTTTTGCTTTTAAAGTTTTTTTTCAGAATAAATTATTTTACTAAAAAAATAAGTATTCCTTATTTACTAAAAGTTTTTTAAAGTACAGGATAAATTATTTTACTAAAAAATATTAAAGTAAATATGGAATACTTATAGAAATGCTACTAGGATTATAGATATGATTAAAAGGAAAGTTGTAAAGTTGAGCTGAATGGAATTTTATATGTAAAAATTAGGATTCATGGAGCTTCAAGTCAAAGTATTTAAAAACAAAAAAATTGATAATCTTAATTCTACTGAAGAATCGAAACAAGAAGATAGCCTGTTTAGCTTAGCAATTGTACCTCTTTTGTTTAAAGTTGAAAACATTGACTTTTGGAAAAATTCTAGCTGCCATTTTTGTAGACCTCTCCACCTGCAATATAAAAAGAAAAAACACATCAGAGTTGTGTAAAGAAGAAGAAACTGATCTTCAAACTCAAATGAATCAGTTACAACTCTTTTAAACAGATATAACTATTAAGGTTACTTTTAAAATTGATATGATCATCTTTGATGGAAAAGTAATAAATTTATTGAGTGACACAAATCAACCCAGTCTCGTAATGCGTGTGGTTGTAAGCCCAAAGAGATGAATGATATAGATTTAGTTTTAAAAAAGCCTGTGAATGAGTAAGACCTTAAACTACACTCAAAAAAATCTTTCCTTATTTTTAAGGGAAAAATTAAGGAAATAATCCCTTGTATTTGACACTAAACTTCCCTTAAAATAAGGAAAGTGGTTTTTAAGGAAATTTCTTTCCTTAAAACGAATTCCCTTAAAATAAGGAAATCCGTAAGTAATAATTTTCTTAACATAATATAAATTCATTCGCTGTATTGCAAGGCGAAATACAAAAACAAATTTGATTATTTTACGTAACATTATTGAGTTATTTTTGGGCTTTTTTTTTATATAAGACGGAGAAAGAGATTTCTTTATTTTAAGACAGCAGGTAGCGTAAAACTTTTTAACTGTAATATTGATTATTATTGTAAGCTTAAATCTATTTTTGAAAAACGCATTATAGATAACAACAACTACATTTACATATTAAAACTATAATCTACAAATAGTGCACCGTAAAAATTTACAATTGCCGATATCATAACTTAAGAGTGTCATAGTTACATTTTTAACAATAATATATATATATATATATATATATATATATATATATATATATATATATATATATATATATATATATATATATATATATATATATATATATATATATATATATATATATATATATATATATATATATATATATATATATATATATATATATATATATATATATATATATATATATATATATACATAGGATAACAATAAAAATTGTTAGTTCAATTGAAAAAGACGATCGACACTATTAACTGAACTAGGAGTTTTTTCTCTTCCAAAACTTAATTGATAAATTTTGCATTGTAGATATTTAAAAAACATTTCCAATCCATTTGGATATTCTCAAGAAAACACCAAATCCTGCCACACACACTTTTCCATCACAAACATAAAAATCCTGCCACACACACTTTTCCATCACAAACAAAATTTCCAATTAGCTCATTATTATCAGCTCAATGTTTAACTTTGAGCAATCTGCTGCTGATAATAATGAGCTAATTGGAAATATTGTTTGTGATGGAAAAGTGTGTGTGGCAGGATTTGGAAGTGTGTGTGGCAGGATGTGAAAGGTAAAAACCATACAAGTCAATAACTTTAGCAGCTGTGACATAGTTGATGGAGAGCAATGCCATACCCAACAGTTTTTAAACGCAACATATGCTGCTTGGACTTGCTATGTTGGAGCAAAAAAGACTCAAGTGATGTTTGACTCGTAAAAACACCAGATGCAGAGTTAGAAGGTGTTTGAGTTACCTCATTGTTAGTCAAATGAAATGATGGAGTAATGGCATCAGTAATATTACTTCTGTGTAAGGTGTCAGTTCCACCAGCAGATGCCTCCATAATAGGGGTTTGAATTTCTCTTTTCTAAATATGGAATTGTTTAATGCATTAAATATTAATATACTGCAGGCTGTACAAATATTTTTAAAGGTATTTTTGGGCAATACCCACTTAATTTTAAAAAGTGGTTAATTCCTCATTCAAATGTTAAATACAATATTTTACCTCATTCCATTTTTCATTAGGTTGAAGCACAATGATTGAAGTATCAGATCTAAGCACAAATGGGAAATCTTCTGGATCAATTTCACAACCATCAGATTCCAAAACAAACCTAAGTTGGATACCTGTGTTAATCTCAAATTTTGTGTGCACTAATAATAAAAAAATTTTAAAATAGTTTAATATATTAAACAAAATCATTGCAAAATATTTCGGAAAACTTTCTGTTTTGAATGTTCAAAATTTTCAAATCTAGTTCATATCTATAAATAAATATAAAACAAGTATAAATTAGGGGCTTTTCTGGAAAAAAAAAAAAAAGGCTGGTGGTACCTTTCTGAGTCAGAGAAATTTACCAGAAATATTGCCAAATATCAGCTATTTTCACGGAAAAAACAATATTTGCCGTAAAGAACATGGCAAAAATTTTTTGACGGGCGCTTTTTTAAGCGCTCGCCAAAAAATTTCAAGCGTATTTTTAAACTGCAACAAATATTTTTCTCAATCAAATTTTAATCAGAGATACAAAAAACAAATATTTTTTAAAATCGAGCGCGCCAGACAAATAATTACTGTCAGGCTAGCGTTTTTCGTGCGCTGGCAGTAAATTTCAAACGTAGAAGACTGAATATATATATATATATATATATATATATATATATATATATATATATATATATATATATATATATATATTATATATATATATATATATATATATATATATATATATATATACATATACATACATACATAGGTATATAACCAATCTTCTACCTTCTGCAAGCACTTTCTTGCTCTTGCACTTTTGTGCTTGCCAACATACCCCCCAATAATTCGGTCCGCGCTTATCATAGCGCTCGCTAATAATTTTTAAGTGTGTTTTTAAATTGCCTTTTTTCTTCATCAAACTCTTATTAAAGAAGTATAAAATTACACACGTTAGAAAAACAATGGCTGTCTGGCCAGAGCTTTTTTTCGCGTGCTGGCAGTAAAATTCAAACAAAAAAGGTTATACTTATCTATGTTATATTTAAAAATAAAATTAGAACATAATTTTGTTGCCTACAAAAGGTACATTTTTAAACATATATAATACAAAAACTATTCAAGATAACAAAATGTTTGAAAAAAAGGTTAGAAAATAGTATATCTGGGAGCAAAAAAAAATAACTCTTTCTCTTCATAAAAAACTTGATGAATGTTTAAGGGAATGTAATCTTTCAATTCATGGACTTGCTTACAGAAAAGTGATGAGTGTGTATTGTAATCAACTAAATAGCCATGAAAATGGCTATCAAAGCAGTAAACTGTAAGCATCCGCATTATTATGAAAACAACGTTATTAAGGTAAATTATACCTTCAACATAACCAAACTCAGGTATACCATCGTTAAAATTACATACTATGTGGAAACAGCTGGAGATAACTTTGATGATGTTCTGCTATTAGGTGTGATAAATAGCTTGCTAACCCAAAATTAACTTTTGGAACAAAAACTATGTCTAAAATATCCATAAGTAATAAAAGTAAATTCTAATGAGGTTCATCTCGTGGAAATCTGTGTCCGATAATGAATGGTATATTTCGGATTAAGCACCAGCATTCTGAAGCAGTCATTTTTAATCGTTCAAAAGATGCAAAAGTTGTGGGTCGACTATTTCTGTCAGAAGAGTCAAAATTAAATTCAGTCAACAACAAATTATATTTGCTTAGAGATATATACCCATCACCACTTAAAATACCCCTTAATAATGGAACTATCCCTTCCAATAAATCGTGCATTGCATCAACAGCAAAATTTTCCATAACATGAAAGTACTTTAGCTCATTAAAAATGCACCCGTGTTTAATTCCACTTTCAGACTCCTTATAGTCAGGTTGACCAACTGAATTAACTGAATGATTACAAGACTTTTTAGTTCGTTTAACATAATCAGTCTCAAGGAATTTGATTGACTTTCTTCTTTTGTTACTTCACATAATCTACAGAACTTCCGTGCATTAAAACTCTCAAAAAATCCAAACAATGAATGATAACTTAAATTATCAGCAGAAAAAAGAGCTAGGGATGCTCGTACTTTTATTGTTTGATTGCAGATAGAGACTTGCACACCCTCCTTAGATTCTTATTGCTTCAACATATTTATTAATGGGGCAAATATTAAATCATAAGATCGAGTTTTATCTTTAGCATCTAATGCATACCACATACCCACTAGAAAAATTGAAGATTCTTTGGAAAGAAATCTGGAAGGTATGTTTCTCACTGTCATATAAAGAGCATCCATTTTATGTATCAGTGTATGTGGACCAAGTGGATTTGTTGTTTCAAACCCATCAATATAAAAATGTAAAACCATTGCATCAGGAAATTTATAAAAATAGGGATGTTGCTTGTATGCGTCAGTGTCAAAGTAATCAGTTAAGTTTCCATCATTACTTGCATGGTCATGGCAATTTAAACTTAAGGAGTGATGTTTACACTCAATTGTTATTCGAGCTAATAATAATTCAATAAGAATGTATTGAGCAGTATCCATTATATCTTTCATTTCATAACTACCTAATGAAACTGATTTGCATTTCTCTTTTCTTTTTTCAAGATACACTGGCTGTGGGACTATATAAAAATAATGTTTTTTTAAATATGCTATCATCTTATGTTCTGTATCAACTTTATCAATGGAAGTAGTCACAGCTGCAAGATCTTCATAAAGATTTTGAACACAAGTAACATTTTCATCAATATTCAGTTCATTAAAAACGGAACGAACATGCTCTAAAGTTAAATGCAGTGAGTCCTGCAATAGTTCCTTAAGACCTTCAGTTACAAATTGTACATTTGTCAAAAGAATGTTAGATCGTGCTTGAAGCTTAGCAATAAATGAAACAAATGATTTTTGTATACTATCTTGTATATTTCTTTCATCTCTATTATCTACAGAATCTACACTGCAATCAAATTGATCATCTATTGAGACATCATTTATATTATTAAATAAAAATTGGGTAGAAAATTCACATTTAGATTCTAAATTGTTTACATAAAACAAATCCTGATGATACTTGCAAATATGCACAATTTAGAATCTAAATGTGAATTTTCCACCCTGGCCACATGGAATATCATTATGTTCATAGACAGCATGTGCCCGTTTTAAATGCCATACCATAATGTTTAGAATGTGAAAACTCTAATGCAATTTTAATCATTGTACAGCAAAAAGTAAAAGCATACAATCTTGAAAACCTAAGTTAAGTTTAAACTATTTAAATATATAAAATTATATATTAGTTTAGTCACTAAACTAAACTTTAGTATTAATTGTATAAAATAACTTTTAAAATATAAATAAAGTATAAAATAAGTTTTAATATATATTTTATATATATATACATATATTATATAATAAGTTTTAAAATATATTCAAAGTATAAAATAACTCTTTAGTGTTAATTGTATAAAATAAACACTAAACTTTAGTGTTAATTGAATATAGTTTTAAAAAGTTGTATAGTAACACAATTTATTATATCACATTTAAAGGGATCCCTAAGTGCTATAAAGATATGATCTCATATGAAAGAGCATAAAAAAAAATGTTTGATGTATATTATTTTTTCTAAAATGTAATTATGAACACACACTAACAAATTTAATTTTCAAAAAACGCTTTTCTTCGATTAAAAAAATGCGTCTCGTCCGACTTTACTGCCTCTAAAAACTAACGTTTGTACGTCAAATTAAACAAAGTAAACAAAATGTCATTATTGCAAACGTAATTAAATTGGTAATTAAATTTTAAAGTAAATTCGTTTTTTTTTAACTAACACAAAATTACTTACAAGAATAAGTTTTGTAGAACTTTGTGAAAATATATTTGTATATTAAAATTTTTTTAAATAATTTTTATTTATATATTTGTGTTATTAGGGCAATTCCACGGCCAAAAATGAATTGAAGTCAAATTTTAAACTCTTTTTAGTCAGTTTTTCACAAATGAATATTGATGTAGACATATAAAAGTTTATTTAAAATATTTCCTTAGTACAAAAATAAATTTATTTCAGTCATTTTTATGGTTTCAAAAGTGACGGTTATTCTCATTTTCGCTTGATAAAAAAAATAATTATTGTAAAATGTTTTAGTTAAATTAACATTTATGTTAATTTTGCTATATTTTTTGGTTCAAATTGATAAGGTTGAATAGACATTTTATTAGAAATTAAACTAAGACAAGGCTCGAATTAACGCGAAAAAATCTAATCGCGAAATTATTTTTTTTTTGCGGCCCCCCATCCTCTCTCTTTCTCTTATAGCTCGCGCCGATGCGCGGTAATGGGGGGAGGGGGTTGCGTTAGTATAAAATTGTCTCTTTAGCACGTAATTGTTCTATTTTAACACACTATCTCTCATATTTAAATGTTATCTTATGATTTTCTTGTTTGGCGGAGTTTAAAATAGCGTAAGTTACTGTTATAATTTACAGCTTAATTTATAATTTAAAGTTTAAGTTGCAGTTACAGTGTAATGCGCAAGTAACGTATTTAATACTATTAATTGTTTTTACTTAGCACGATACTTAAAAAAGTAAAAGTAAAAAAATAAGAGTAAAAAGCAAACATTACTATATTTCAGTCCAGGGGGAGGATGAGAGTATGCATCCCAGAATCTGAAAGTCTTGAAAATATCATAGAAATTGAGGACCTTGTTTTCTGCTCTTTTTTTTTAGGAGACGCAAACATGGTACAAATATAATATATATAAAAATATTCAAAAATATTTTAACATCCTTATCCACCAAAAATTCCTGGATCCATTACGGCAATATTTAAACCACCATAATTAGTCAAAGAAAACTGTTTAATACGATCACGCTGACGATAAAACACGTGTTTTTAATGAGTATTTAATTGTTATTGTAAAAAGCTTTAAAACAACAATAAAACAAAAAGTTGTTTTTAAAATATAAATAGCTTGTGTTAATGTAAAACAACTTCGTGACGCTGTTTTGTTGCTGTTTTATACAGTTTAATAACATAAAATGCGTTTAAAATAAAACGAAGCAAATAAATGAAATTGTTTTAATAAATTAAAAAATTATTGTCAATAAATCAAAAATCATCGTCAAAAACTTAATAAAAAAATTAGATATCACGTTTTTTATAATTTATTGTTTCTTGCATTGAGCCTTGTAAGACTTTTTTATAAGTTCTAAACAATTAAAAACTATTACTTATTAACTTTTTTTTAACGACGTCTTTCAACCGAATTCTATTATACTGTTTTTGCTAAA